ATAGTTTATCTTTTCAAAGAATCAGCTCTTTTTTTAAAAAAATATATTTTATTGATTTTTTACAGAGAGGAAGAGAGAGAGATAGTTAGAAACATCGATGAGAGAGAAACATCGATCAGCTGCCTCCTGCACACCCCCTACTGGGGATGTGCCTGCAACCCACATGCCCTTGATTGGAATCGAACTGGGGACCTTTCAGTCCGCAGGCCGACGCTGTATCCACTGAGCCAAACTGGTTTCGGCAAGAATCAGCTCTTGATTTCATTGATCTTGTTGGCTTTTTTAAGACTCCATTTCATTTATTTCTACTCTGAACTTTATTATTTCCTTCTTTCTGCTCACTTTGGGCTTCGTCTGTTATTCTTTTTCTACGTACTTTAGGTGTAAGTTTAGATTGTTTATTTGAGATTTTTCTTGTTTCCTAAGGTAGGCCTTTAGTGCTATGAATTTCCCTATTAAGACTGATTTCACTGTGTCCCATAGATTTTGGGTTGCTGTGTTCTCATTTTCATTTGTCTCAAAGTATCTTTTGATTTCTTCCTTGATCTCATTGTTAGTCCATTCATTGTTTAGTAACATGACATTTAGCTTCATTGTTAATCTATTCATTGTTTAGTAACATGCTATTTAACCTTAATGTGTTTGTGTATTTTTCAATGTTTTTTTTCTCTTATAATTGATTTCTAGTTATGAACCATTGTTGTCAGAGAAGATGCTTGATACAATTTCAATCCTCTTAAATTTATTCAGACTTGTTTGGTGTTCTAATATGTGTTCTATCCTAGCACATATTCCATGCCCACTTGAAAAAAATGTATATTCTGTTACTTTAGGGTGACATGCTCTGAAATATCAATTAAATCCATTTGTTCTAGTATGCCATTTAAGGCTGCTATTTCCTGTTGATTTTTTTGGTCTGGTAGATTTAGCCATTGATGCCAATGGCATGTTAAAATCCCCTACCATGACTGCATTACTGTCAATCTCTCTCTTTATGTCCCTCAAGATTTGCTTTATATATTCAGGTGCTCCTATGTTAAGTGCATAAATGTTTACAAGGTTTATATCCCTTTGTTGGATTGACCCTGTATCATGTAATGTTCCTCTTTGTCTATTATTATAACCTTTGTTTTAAAGTCTATTTGTCTAATATAAGTATTGCACTACCAGCTTCTTTCATTTCCATTTGTATGAAATATCTTTTTCCATCACATTACTTTCAGTCTGTGTGTATCTTTCATTTTGAAGTGGGTCTCTTGTAGACAGCATATATATGGATCTTGTTTTCTTTTTCTTTTTTTTTTTAATATATTTTATTGATTTTTTACAGAGAGGAAGGGAGAGAGACAGAGAGTTAGAAACATCGATGAGAGAGAAACACCGATCAGCTGCCCCCTGCACACCTCCCACTGGGGATGTGCCCGCAACCTAGGCACATGCCCCTGACCGGAATCAAACCCGGAACCCTTCAGTCCGCAGGCCGACACTCTATCCACTGAGCCAAACCGGTTTCGGCTGGATCTTGTTTTCTTATATACTCAGCTACCCTATGTCTTTTTAAAAAATATATATTTTTATTGATTTCAGAGAGGAAGGGAGAGGGAGAGAGAGATAGAAACATCAATGATGAGAATCATTGATTGGCTGCCTCCTGCACGCCCCCCACTAGGGATCAAGCCCACAACCCGGGCATGTGCACTTGACCAGAATCAAACCCAGGATCCTTCAGTCCGCAGGCCGACTCTCTATCCACTGAGCCAAACCAGCGAGGCTGATGCTCTATTCAATGAGCCAAACCCTATGTCTTTTGATTGAAGCATTTAATCCATTTATATTTAAAGGGATTATTGATAGGTATGTATTTATTGCAATTTTATTTTATAACTATGTTCCCTCCTCTTCCTCCTTCTCCTCCTCTCCTTTTTCATCTAGATGTCCCTTTAACAGTCTTCTAATGCTGGTTTGGTCTCTGCCCCTTCAGTTTTCCCAGTGAGGTTTGTACCCCAACCCTTCCCTGCTATTACATCCGCTGGGGCTGCAGCCAGTGCCAGACTGTGCAGCTGTCTCTGTCCTTCCTTTGTCCTGTCTCCCCTGCTTACTCCTGTCCTTCTGTTGTCCTGTCTCTCCTGTTCACTCCCATATGCCTGCCTTCAGATGTCTCAATGCATGGAACTCAGACATGTTTGTGTATTCAGCAGGGAATCCTTTGTTGAATTACAGCTCTCCAACTTGAAACTTCAAGGGGAGAGACCTGGAGGTCCTCTCATGCCACCATGCTGCTGATGTCACTCCCCAGAAAGCCTTTTGACCCATCATAGCCTTCCACTGTTCAGAGCCTCTCATGGACAACAAACCAGGCACACATGTGCCAGTGTCTCCACCACAAAACTGGATGCTTAAAAAACCACCATTTATTCATAATTCCAAAATCTGGGCTGAGCTCAGTTGGGCAGTTCCGTTATCTTGCTTTGGTCACTCATGTGGCTGCAGTCAGGTGGAAGCCTAATTGTGCTGGACAACTTCCCTTACATGTCTGATAGCTTAGCTGAGATGGCTGGAACCCCTGGTGGCTCCAAAAGGAAGTGTTCCAAGAGAACAAGCTCCTGCTTGCATCATGCATGCTGACATCCTATTGGTCAAAGTCAGTCACATGACCAACCCCAGAATTAGTAGGGAGGGAGGCACTACACAAGGCCATGAATATTGGGAGATGGGATCAGGGGCTGCCAGTGTAAGTTTCCTACATCAGCTCCCCTGAACCAGCATACAAGTGCTCTTCTGAGTACTCACATAGTGACAGTTAACCCATGAATTCCTAAGAATATGTTGTATTTCATTGATTCTAAGAACTTAATTGGAATTCATCTTACAATCAATCATGTGGCATAGTTTAATTTCTTGATTTTTTTCCCCTTTGTGGTACATGAAATAATGGTATTTCCTATCACCAATGGCACCTTAGATTCTGTTGACATATAACATGTATAGCCCAACATGTATAAACACACACATGCCACTGACATGATAAAATGTCTCAAAGAAATCTTGCCTTATTAATAACAGAATTATCAGATCATTTTCAATGGGAAAACAAGGATGGCTTAGAGGCACAAGAACATAAAATTGTTTTTCCTGATGGAATTACAATAATAACAGTATTTTTAAATTAATTATTCTAAGAATTGCCATTAAAATTTAAACACAATTAGGAATCAGGCTCTGAGCATATTGAGCAAAATGGCCTTTTATTTCCTATTCTACCCAATTAGAGCTCATTACTTGCTGTTTGCTTGTTGCTCACCCTTGGCTGTCAAATCACAAAGGCAGCTTTTCCCCCTACTTGTGGTGCTAGTTACAGATTTCTGCTAGAGTTGCTAAGGATAACAGATGTTATAACCAGTGTCAGAATATTGCAAATTGGGTTCTCTAATGAAGCTGTGGCATTGTATCCAACTTGCATCATGTAGGCATCTTCCTTTCAATACCTACCAGGTTTATATTTAACTAGAGGCCTAGTGCACGAAATTCATGCACAGTAGGGTCCCTAGCAGCTGCCAGCCGGGGGTGCCTCCCTCCCCCCTGGCCACTTGCAGCCACCAGCGGCCCCATCCCCTGGTCGAACTCCCGGTCAAGGGGACAATTTGCATATTAGGCTTTTATTATATAGGATATACAGGACTTGCATTTACATGTGTATATTATGAAGAGCCACTGTGAGCTCATAGGTCCTTTGGGATAATTAGAAATAGGTACTCCCTCCCTAAGCCATCTGTCAAGAGTGTTATGCTGACATTAGAACATGGTACATTACTGCCACCTCCTGGTAAGTTGTGGTTAAAATGCAACTCTACAATGTCCAGAAGGTGAATAGTATCAATTGGAATTTTGCAATGCACAACCTGAATACCATGTGGAACTGCCACAAACCATTAGATAGCAGGTTAGCAAAATGATCAAGAATATGGTGTTGGAGCCAGGTTGCCAGGGTTGAATTCCTAGCTCTGACCTGTCTTGGATGGTGACCTTAGAAAAGTGATATAACTTCTCCTTGCTTCTATTTCCTTATCTATAAATGAGGATTGTTATAGCACCTACTTCATGGGTACAAGTATTAATGAGGTGTGCCAATATATATAAATTCCTTAGAGCAATGCCTGGCATGAGTACCATACCAGTGTTTGTTGCCATAACATTTTAAAATTTATTCAACAAATACTTGCAAAGTAGCAGGCACTGTTCTAATGTCTCCACATCTATTAACCCTGTAAAAAAATTATTTTATTATTTATCTGTTCGTTTTTCAACATCTTTTTTTTAACCCTCACCTGAGGGTATTTTTCCATTGATTTTTACAGAGAGTGGAAGAGAGAGGGAAAGACAGAGAGAAATATCAATGTGAGAGAAACATCGGTTGGTTGCCTCCTGCACTCACCCTGGAGCCTGCAATCAAGGTACATGCCTTTGACTGGAATCGAACCCGGGACCCTTCAGTCCACAGGCTGACGCTCTATCCACTGAGCCAAACTGGCTAGGGCTATATTAACCCTTTTAATCCTCATAGCAACCCTCTTGTGACAGGTAACACATATGTAGAGGTATAACTACAACATGTCACAAAATAGGCACTTGCAGACACCACAAAACCCTTTCTGGGATATGTGACTGAAATTCCCACACCCAGGAGGATTCCTATTATCTACCCAAGGAAACATGAAGGCTTGGAAATGAGAAGAATGGTTTAAGATTCCCAGGCCCTCATCAGGCTCTAAGGTTGGAGGCTGTGTGTGTGTGATTGTGTATGAGAGAGAGTAGGAGGCAGGGGATACTTGTCAGAGCTCCGCCTCCAGAGGTCACCCTGGGACCCAGCCCATTCAGCACCCAGGAAAGCTCCAGGGTGGGCACAAAGAGCTTGGCCCAGATTTAAAGATCCCCTGGTAGGGATTCACAACAGTGTCCAGAGCTATGATTACTCACTGATTCCCCCACAGAGATGCAGGATGGCCTGGTGGGGAAGAGAACTTTATTGGGATGCTAGTGGGCAATACGTGGGAGGGTGAATTCCAGGGACCAAGCTGGCGGTCACCTTAAAGAACAATAAATTAATTTACAAAATAAATAAGGTGAGGAGGTTCTAAGCAGAGAGGCAGCTGGGAATAGCTGGGGATTTCTTAGGGATGGCATTAGTAATTGGAAAGGGGAAATAAGAATTTCCATCCCCCTCACGAGGGTATGAAATTAACTTTTTCAAAACCCTTTCTCCAGTCTGGGAGTTAGGGTTCTGGGGCTCCAGGAATAGGAAAGGTCTGGGTTCACCCAAAGGGATGAAAGGGGCTGGTTCAGGGTCGTTCCTCCAGAAAGCGGTAAGTGGGGTTCTCATAGCCATGATGCTGCAGTTCCCGCAGCTGCTGCTCCTCCAGGGTCAGCATGGGGTCCACCTGCAGCAGGGCAGGAGAGGGAGAGTGGGGCATTGGGACCTGACTTGATCTTACAGCCCCTCCATGCCCAAGCTCTGGAACTTCTCCCCATACCACGTCTTTATGTCTCTCACCTCCACCACTCCATGGCTGATAGCCCCGTAGGGCTTCTTTCTGCGCAAGAGCAGCATGGAGAGGACGATCAGGGAGCCCCCACCCGCTCCCATGATCAGCAAACCGGACACGGCCTCTCGAGACACTCCTGTCCCAGCTGGTGCCTGTAGGAGAGGAGATGGGGCAGGGCTCATCTTTGAGGCTCACCAGAGGCCAGTGTGGCTTTGGAAGTCACAGCCTAGCCACTGGCCTCTGACCTTTCCCCCCTAGGTACCCAAAATATTCCTCCTCTTACCAGCTCATCTCTCTGAATCTCCGATGAGTGGGAAGGAAAACCCCTTGGAACAGACACATTCACCTGGGGGAGCAGGAGGTGTTAGGGACCCAGGCATATGGACCCCAGCCTCCTCTTCCCCTAGTGCCAGAGAGGGCATCTCCCAGCCTTCTATTTCCCTAGAATCCGGAAGTCCGTGTCCTCAGTTACCTCTTCCCTTAGTTAAGGAATCCAACCCCCTGGCTCCCTCCTCCTTCAGACCTTTGAGTCTAGGCCCCACCCCCAGGCCTCCCACAGGAGCCCATAGGGGTAACTTACCTTCCGTTCATACTGTTCCAGGGGGGACAGCTTCTCTTTTCCAGGGGGTGCAGCATCTTGTTCTGTGGACCCTACCCCCCAAGTTCTAGCTCATTCCTGAGAGTCCAGAGTAGTGCTGCCCGCCCCCCACCCTGAGGAGGGGTTCAGAGGGGTACCGGACTCCACCACAGGAGGTTTGGGGTTCCTAATATATGGACCCTTTTCCATTTTGGGCTCAGAGACTTAGTGGGATCTGATGGCTGTGGTCTACTCTGTGAGATACCTTTTGGAAGGGCTATGGGGATGTCTGTTGGCAGCCAGAGGAGGCAGGGGGAACAGTGAAGAGAGGGAGGGCTTCACTGAAGAAAGGATGGAGAAATACCCTCCCAGGGTCCAAGGCAGGAGGATCAAAGATTCTGCAGAACCTTAGGCATTCCTCCCCATTCTCTCCCACTCACTGTGGTAGCTGAGACACCCCCAGACTTGGGAGATTAGAAATTAGGTTGAGGGCCTGTCTCCCAAAGTCTGAGGTTATCTATAGTTGGGTTATCTCACCATCATTGGAATCCAGAGGCTGCAGCCCACCCTTGTCCTCACTGCTATTCCCGAGGACAGGGATTTCCAATTCACTGGGACTCAGGTGTTCAGAGTGGAGGAATTCCTCTGAGGGGAACACATAGAAAGGTGGTTGAGGTTGTGAGCATAGGAACATCACACACACACACACACACACCATATGCAAAGTGATTGGGGGTTGCCATAAGTGTGACCTGGGAAAGAGGGGAGCTGGTAGGAGGCAACCCTGGCAGGGAGGATAGAGGCCAAAGGTGCAACGGGCTTAAAGAGCAGGAAAATTACGGTTAGATGTGGGACTGCAAAGGAAGTCACAATAGATCTGGGGGCTGTGACAAGTCACACTGTCTGGTATTCCTGCTCTTGTGTAGGCTCTTCCCCTTGGATCAGGACTGGGGCTGTAACTTGCTTTAACCAGCAGAATGTGGGCCCATGTCTTAGAAGACCTGGCAGCTTCCACTTTCATATTTGGGAGCCTGAACCACCATTAGGAAGTCCAGGCACCCTGTGTACAGACAACACGGAGGGTCTCTCTGGAGAAGAGAGGCTTTGAGCCTACATGGAGAGGTAGAGAGGCCCAGTTGTGCCAAAGTTCCAGCCCCTAGCTGATCTGCTAGCTGAATGTAGCTACATGTTTGACTACTAACAAGAAGCACCCAGTAGAACCCAGACCAGACGGCAGAATCATGAACAAAGAAGATGGTTAATTTAAGTTTTTAAGTTCTGGTGTTTGTTACACAGGAATAGATAACTAAAGTGTCTGTGTGTGTGTGTGTCAAAGATTGGGGGTCAGGATCTGCCCTTAGAGATCTGGAATGGGAAGCAGGGGTCATATGTACTCACGGATCTGGGGCCGCAGCTCCTGAGCCAGATGGGGGTTCCGATCAAGCAGCCCCAGGCTCTGATTCATCCTTTCCTCAATTACTTGAAGGTGGGTCTGCACCTGTGGGGGAGTGATTATGAAGGATGAACTGAGAAATGTGGGCTAGAAATGGGGAAACTGAGGTAGGGTGAAGGAAGAGCAATACAATTCAAGGGAAAAGTAGTACATACAATGTACAGAAGTAGCGTACAAGGGCCAGGAATGGGCCATAAGAAGAAGGAATTGAAGGAGGAGAAGCAGAATACAAAGAAAATGAAAAGATGTATAGAAGACAGGAAGTGAGAGGCTTGGAAAAAGAACTAAGGTGGAAGAGAAAGGAGTGATTGCTGGGAAAAGTGGGGCACAGGAGACAATGTAAGTATAGGAAACAAGGAATGTGGTACAGAAGATAGGAAATGGAGGCAAGTGGGTTGGAGGGGCAGAAAGTAGGATCTGAAATAGAAAGTGAGGTTTGAGGGAGGTGCAGAAAAGGAAGTAGCATTGGCATGTCATATGGAAATGATGTGGTTCAAGGGCAAGTCTTGGAGTTCAAGAGCAGGAAGAGAACATCCAAGAAACAGAAATTAGGACCTGAAGGCACAGAACAGGGGTTCCAGGGAAAACAAGTAGGGTTAGGGAGAAAGAAGAATAGAAGGACAAGAACAGGGTTCAAAGCACAGGAAGGGGATTCTGGGAAAGGAAGAAGAAATCCAAGGGACAAGAAGGGTGTCAAAGATACAGGAGCCAAGGGACCGGAAAAGGTTCCAAGGCACAAAAGAGGGGTTCCAGGATAGAAGGTGGCCCAAGAGACAGAAAGAGGGCCTGAAGGACAAGAAAAAGCCTGAGGTATGGGTCTCAGGGACAGCAGGGTATTAGAGTGAGAAGAATCAGCACCTGGAAGCTCATCTGCTGGGCCTTCTCAGGCTCCACGGCAGCCACATGCTGGTAGTGTCGCAGTGTGTGCCTTTGCTCCTTCTGCTCGGCACGCAGATAGCGCCGCAGGGCCAGCAGGACACGCTCTGGCTGTGGAAGGGATGAAGGCTGCCTAGGCCTGCCCCAGCCCTTTCCATCCTCTGCCCTCTGCCCCCACAGCTCCCACACCTGAGGCGGATCTCCCTGCAGTGCTGCCAGGAAACCTTCCAAGGCAGCCCGGCGTTGGTCGTTGATTAGGGCGATGACTCGGGTGGCATGGGTCTCCACCAGGCGCTGTCGCTCACCAGACACCTGTTCCTCCAGGGTCTGCAGAATGGACTGAAAGTGCTATCAAAGGGGTGGACACAAGATCAGCAGAGGTAAATATGGGTGAAAGCCTAGGTCAGTGGCATTCTGGAAAGGCAGGGCTATAGGGCCAAGCAGGGTGGGTGCAGTGGATCTAGGTCTGGGCAGAGTCAACCTGGGGTTGGGACTAGATCACAGGACACTGACTGGAAAGGGTGGGGATATAGGGTAGGACTAGGCCTACTGGGAGCCAAGCTGGAGGTGTAAACTGTACTGGGAATGAACAATCTAGGAACAGAGTTGGCCTATTAAGATCAAAGGGAGCAAGTATTTTAATAAAGGTAGAGCTCTAGGCCTGGGTAGGGCAAACTAAAGACAGACTATGCCTAAATGAGGCTAAGGTGGGTAGGGAGCAAGAGTCAGGGGACTGGAGCTAACCTGAGTGGGGACTATAGGAAGTAGGTCTGTACCAAAGTGAAGTTGAAAGAGGTGGGATGGAGAACATGAGGCTGGCCTACTGAGGAGGGATTGAGTAAAAATGAGATTAGAGGGGTAGGACCAAAGTCAGGGGGCATGGCCTAACAGGGACAGGAATGCATCAAAGAGGCTGAGAGGATCTGCTGGACCTGAGGGGTCAGCATGGGAGAGGACTCCAGAGCCAGTACTCAGAGATAAGAATCAGGTTAAAACAGGGCAAAACATGGCAAATCAGAGAAGAACAATGTCAGGTCCCACATAGGCCAAGAGGGGCGGAGCTAAATGTATGGGTGGGGCAAAGAGAGGCTGATATAAGTAGGAAGGGGTGGAACTGGATGAGGCTGGTGGGACAAGGCCTAAGCCAGGTTGAGACTGGAAGTGCCCCACTGGAAGTTGTCCTACCTCATTCAGGGCCTGTCTGTCAGCTTTAGGCAGATTCTTGGACTGGTTGTCCGCCATGGCCCATTCACGCATCACCTGGGAGCAGGGGAACTTCAGGATTCTATAATCCACCCTGCTCCACCCAGTGAGTTCCCCAATCCTTCTTCAAGACTTGGAGGCTCCAGATAGATCCCTTAAGTCCCATTGGTTCTTGGGTTCCCAACAGAGAAGACTCAGAAGAAATTTAAGGTGGAAGAGTACCATCCACCAGTTTCCTTAGAATCTGTTGGCATCTCAATGGGATTCTATGGGTTAGGGATCCCTGGTCATTTTAGGGGTGGCATTGAGGACTGGGAATTGACAGGGGTGTGGGGAGCTTTTGGAAATAGTCCCAACTTGTCCTCAAGAAATTTCCTTATATTTATGGAGCTCTATGTTATGGGTGATCCTGGGACCCCCACCATCATTACCTCATTAATCTGGCGCATCCTTCGCTCCTCCAGGTCCATCTTGGCCCGTAGGAAACCCTCATGCTCACTGATTTCTCCAGGCATGCCAAAGTACACATCCACACCATCTGTGGGCCTTGGGGTGGAAGTCACTGCAATGCCAGGAATCAGATGGTCAGCCTGAACCCTATCTCCAGATCACCTTTTCTACCCAGAGAACTACATTTCCTAGAGTGCACTGGAAACCACCATGTGTCCACTTTAGCCATAGCTTCTGCCTAGCATCATGGGAAATGTAGTTCAGAACTAGGCAACAGTCCTGAATGTTCTTGCAAAGTTTAGGAATCCATTACACCATCCTCTAACCCAAAATAACCCTTAGATTTACCAAGGGCTCCTTCACTTCCAGGTACCTCCAACCACCCTTTTCAGTCTTCACAGGCCAGGCCTCCCACCTCTACTTTACCCAAAACTGCTCTCATCCCTTCCATTCCTTCCGAGCAGACCCCTCTCCTATTGGTCCCTCCCAAAGATGTTCCTACACCAAGACTCCCCAAATCAGCCTCCCTTCAGAAATGGCCTCACCTTTGCTGATCCCTGCAGGAAGATGGGAGCTTGAAGGTGGGACTCTTTCCTCCTCTTCTTCCTCTTCAGCCTGTAGGGGCTCCACAAAGTAATCGTCTACTGGCTGTAGGAAGGATTCCTCCTCTTTCTCATCCTCATCCCCCTCTATTCTGCTCCCCGGGGGCCAGGACCGGGTGGAGGAGTCGCTGAGGGAGCAGAAGACACAAGGCAATAAGAACCTGGGTCCAGGCCCCAGGCTTCCAACTCCTGCCTCAAGAAGCCTTGGGATGGGCAGGGAAGATTCCCTCTCACTCACCCAACTTCTGTCCTAGATGGGTCAGGGGTCACTGGAGGGGGGCAGCACACATACTCCACACCTCGGAACCGATCCATGCCACAGGGCAAAAGCATGCCCGAGCCATGCAGGATGAGGCCCTGGGAGCTGCAGGCCTGTAGGAAGAGTGGGTCCAGATACCAGGATTGTGGGGTAGGAGAGGGTAAACGAGGGGGGCCTGGATGCCTGAGTGTTGGAGGCTGATGGGGCTGGGAGCCTGAATTACTGGTTCTGTCCTGATGGGAAGAGGGGGCAGAGGCCCAGATTCTTGGGTTCTGCAGGAGGGGGTGTTCTGGGTGTGAGGATGAATGTGCCAGGGTCCTGACCTCCTGTGCTTCCTGATGCCTCCGGGTTGAACTCTCACACTGGTCCATGCGCTCCTGATGCAAGAACCGGCAGCCTTCGGGCACCAGCAGGGCCTCACTCACGAATTCACCCGCTGGGAAATGGGGGCACCAGAGTGAGATCCTCTCATAGCCACTAGCCTTACCCTCCTCAGAATCCAGGTTTATTATCCTCAGAGGCTTCTCTACCCCCCTCAGGACTCAAGCATCAGCATCTAGCTCTCTAATGTGACCCTTGAGGCCAGGGCCCAGGATCTCCCCCTCAGACTCCCACCTCCATTTCCCTCCCCTAGCCTATGACTCACGCAGGCAGCGGAAAGGCACAACCTGGTGGTGAGGGTGGGTACAGCGGCCACCCTGGGCACCTCCGCACCAGCGCTCCATGGGGATGGCCTGCGCCGCCTGTTCCACACGTGCAATCTGCAGCTCCGGGTACATCTGTGGGCACCGGGTGGGGCAATCAACCCACTGTTAGAACCCAACCAGTCATGCTTCTCTTCTGGCCACGTCCCTTTTCAAGACGCCAGTGTTCATAAGGCATTCTTCTCCTTAGGCCCTGCTTCTTCATAAAATTCGTCTTAGATATCTAAGTCCCGTAGGCCCATTGGCCACGCCCCTAGTAACTCCCCCTTACCCCTCCCTCTCTCTTCCCCGCACCCCGCTATCCTTAGGCCTCTCCCCTTTACCTGGCCAGTTCCTTTTCAAAGGTCTCTCCATATACCCACAAACTCAATTTTTCTACGCCCACCTCTCTTCTGGTCACCTTGCCGCTCTTCCCCAATCAGGTTAATCTCTCCGTAGATTCCACCAACCTTTAAGTCTCGCTCTTTCCCCGTTAGACTTCTCAGTGTCCCTTCTCTCGGTAATAGCCCTTCCTTTCATAGCCACGCCTCCTAGCTTTCCACTTTTTAATTGGGCTCCACCCCTTTTCCTATCTTCTAGGTCCCTAAGGACTTTTTGTCAGACCAACCTCTCCTTTGGCCACGCCTCCCTATACACCTGCTCTTTAAGGAGCCCACCACTTCACTGGGTCACCTTCCTTAGCCGGACTTTGCACGGTTCTCCCCTTTCCTGACCTAGTTTCTCTCTTTTCTTTTTTGTTTTGTTTTGTGACCTTTTCTCAAAAACAGGTCCCGCCCTATCTAACTTCGCCTCTGGCCCCGCCCCCTGGCTTCCTAGCCTTCTTAGTTCCCTGGTCTCCTGGCCTTAGGAGTCTGGCTGGGAAACAAACAAACAAACAAACAAACAACAAAACCCACACCAGCCTGGCTAGACCGCGCCCCTCGCTGGCCGCCTTCGCCCCTCGCGGCGGCGCGCCCACCTGTCTGCAGTACTCCAGCGCGCGCTGCGGGTCCCGGAGACAGCGCCGCGAGAGCTGTGCGTCTGGTTCCCAGCGGCCCGTGCGCAGGTCCCGATGAAGGGCTGGGCGCCCGCATAGTCCAGCCACCTGAGCGGACCCCCGGGCCTGGGTGTGTGGGCGAAGGGGTCAGTGAGGGCCGGGGGACGTCGGCACGCTGGTTCCTGGGTCCTTTGCTTTCTAGGACTCAGATATTTAGACCCCAGAACCAGCCCCTTCACCAAGCACTGAGCACCCGCCTAGGTAGAGGTACCGTTTCCCGGGATACAGTTACTACTGGGCGGGGCGCCCCAGCTCTCCTGTTGCTATGGCGACGCGGGTCCCCCAGGATTCTCGCGCCTTGGAGGTGGCTGAGTCAAACTCACGCCCACCCCGGCGCTGCCGCACTAGAGACGGAAGGGGTTAAACCTGAATCGCTGGGGAGGAGGTCAGAACCCAGACGTTCTGGCCCCTCCTCCCTCCATCCCTAGCTCAGGCTCCCGTTCTTGGGTGCAAAGATGAAGACAAGGCCTGGCTTCAGACCCTGCAGGCCTGGACACCAACCCTTGAGGGCTGGAGAGCTATCTCCTGGGTCAGGGAGCGGTGGCTGGAGGCCTAAACTCCTGGGTTCTGGGAGGGCCCAGAGGATGAAAAGGGACCCAGATTCTTGGATCTAAGTGCCTTATTGCTTGGTGGGTCATATGTTCAGGTGGGCAGGGGCTGGGGCTGAGTCACTTAGGTCGAGAGGATCTGAGGGGCTGGATTTCTGGGACCAGGAGCTCTGGGAAAGTCAGTTCCTATGCTGGGGGCGGGGGGTGGCTGGGACGACACAAGATGGGAGGCTGGGGCCTGGACTCCTGGGTTCGTGAATGCCTAGCGCCATTAGGGGACCCGGGGCGGGGGGGGGGGGGGTCCACCTGGCTGGAAAGACTGCACTTTCCGCCCTGGACACGTCCGCGTCGGGTCGAGGCCGGGTCCCGCCCCTTCCCCCACCCCCCAGTCCTCACCTCCGCCGCGCCGGGGCTCCCACCGGCCAGGCTCCCGACGGCGAGCTGCGCGCGCAGAAGCAGCAGCAATAGTGGCAGCAACAGCGGCAGCGGCGGCGGGGCCCGGCGGCGGCCCAGACCGCGTATGGCGGGGCTTATGTGCCCCATGTCTGGGCTCTCACGCCCTCACGTCCCCAGCTCTCCCGCCCAGCCCGGCCCGGCCCCAGCGGTGACAGGAGCTCCCAGCGCCACAGCCACCTCCTCCCGCCGCCCCTTGGCTGCGCCGGCGCCTCCAGCCCCGCCCCACGCCGGCCCCGCCTTCCTGGCCAGGACAATAGCATGCCCGCTCTGCGCAGGCAGGAGCAGCTCCCGAACGCCATGTGGGAGCCTGCGTCAAGCCCCCACTCCCTTAGGATTCCAGGTGTTCCACCCCATGCCAGGATCTAGCCGGAGGTCTGGGTCATGGGCTCTGGGTTATGGATTTTGTGTCCTTCTTCGGACTCAGACACTCACAAATCAGCTTCCTTCTCTTCCAGGAATTATCAGCATTGAAGACAACACCCACCTCCTCACCCTGCTCCCAACCCCAACCAAATTTCTTCTCTTGAGTTGCCAGAATGTAGTCCTCCAAAATTTCCCCAATCAAGAACACAGCAGTTGCCACCCGGTCCTCTTCTCCCTCAGATCCAGGAGTCTGGGCCCCAGGAACCTTTCCTATCAGAACCAGAGACCAAGCCCCCAGCCCTTTCCCCCTAAGACCCAAGAGTCCCAGGCCTTCTGCTCTGCTTCCCAAGGTTCTCAGCTGTCTGGAACTTTAATTCCTTGATCAAGGATCCATGACACGAAGTTCCCAGGCCCCCTTTTAAAAGATGACACAAGTCAGGTACTCAGCACCTCAGGACAATCTTTGCTCTAAGGACCAGGGGATTTCTAATTCCCCACCTCTAGCCTCTCCCTCTCAGCCTCCCCTTCAGGGCTTACTGCTTTGTCTCTTGCAATGACAGTGTAGAATCCTGTCTTCCCCAAGCCCAGTGGAGTAGCCCTGTCATGTGTGTGCATCTGTGCATGTATGTTTGTGTAGATGTATATTAAAAGAGCCCAAAGCATTAAGCGGGTAGCAAGGGGCTTAGGTGTGGCTCCTGGTTTTGTTCCTAGAGTCACTTCCGAGCCTAGGGTAGAGGAAGGGCCTTAATGCCAAGAGAATCCTGAAGACAAATTTTAATTTTTTAAATTAAACATATATCTTCTCATCCCCAGATTCCACCCCCACCCCCTCCAGTGACAATCTCAGCCTGTCCTCACTCCTTGGACCCAATTCTTCCAGGCCTTTAAGGAAGGTGGAAGGGATCAAGATGGTGGCTATCTTGGGTTCCCAAGGAGTGAACTGCCACCTTGGCTTCACTTCTATTGGCCAAGAAAAGTGTGCCTCACGGAGAGCCAGGACAGGGCCTGGTCAGGCCTCTATCTTTTTTTTTTTTTTTTAATATATCTTTATTGATTTCAGAGAGGAAGGAAGAGAGAGAGATAGAAACATCAATAATGAGAGAGAATCACTGATAGGCTGCCTCCTGCACATCCCCTACTGGGGATCAAGCCTGCAACCCGGGCATGTGCCCTTGACCGAAACTGAACCTGGGACCCTTTAGTCTTCAGACTGACACTCTATCCACTGAGCCAAACCAGCTAGGGCTCCATCTTAATCTCTCTATGTTATCTTTCTTCTCAATGCAAGTGCTCATCTTGAAATATCTTCCTTCAGCATCTGTAAACAACTTCTACATCTGCCTCTAACTCCCATCACCCCATCTCTATTCCTCTGTGAAGGGACCATTTGACATCTTGAATCTCTTTTATACAGGGGAATAGGTGGACATAGTGGCCATCTTGCTCCCACTTAGGGCATCCCCTTTGGCTGAGCAAATTGTCCATCAATAACCTAGGCAATAGTAATGATCTATCACTCTCCTCAATGTTTAGTTTTGGAGGAGTAGGTTCGCTAACTTGCTCTGGTTCTTTAGAAATCAGGACAATCTGTTATGGCAAGTTGAAGATCCCAGCACTTTTGAGTTGGAGAGATGCTACACATGCGTTTGGAGACGAGAGTGGCTGGGTGTGGGGAAGGAAGCATATGGGAAGTGGGGAGTCCTGGGGTCCATATCTGGGGGCCCAAAGGATGTGGGTTTGATGTAGCTGGTAAAAGCTCGAGAATGGGGTGTGGTGAGATAACCTGCCTGGGCTCTATACAGTTTGCAGGGGGGAAGCATGCCTAGGTGTGAGTTGAAGTCATAGAAAGGAGGGGTACCCAGAGGTCCAATAGGGGGAGAGGGTGGCAGGAAGAGGCCATCTCCAGGGGTTTTGCCAAGGCTCAGGCTCACACTGACTCCTTGGACCTTGTAGTAACCGTTGGTTGGGTCCTGAGGAGACAAATGAGATTTGTGAGTATGTGAAGGTATAGGGAAGTGAGGACCACTGATGGAGATTGAGTCAGACCTAGTGAGAGGCAAAAGATAGAAATAGGAGCAGGCAGAGACAGAGAGACAGATGTATAGACTGGTAGGAAGACAAAGTAAGACAAACACAGTGACAAGAGAGAAAGGAACAGAAAGAGATGGGCAGAAAGAGACAGTGACAGAAGGATATAGGCCTGCTGAGGGATGGTGGTGTGGAAGGAGGTGCAGAGGGAGCAAGAGAGAGAGAGATTGAGACCAAGATATTTATTCACACATCTTCCCAACAGCCCCATGGCTTTGATTTTGTGTCATGCCCTGTGCAGCTGCTGGATAGACCTGGCCCTGTCCTCATGGAGATACTAGGCCAAAGGAGAAGTGACAGATAACCAGACAGAGCCCAAAGGAGTCAGCACTGTACTGGGGGAAGTAAGGCAGAGTGGCTGGGACTGTGATGATGGGACTTTATGGAGAAGCACAGGCAAGATGATTGGGGTTGTGATGGGGGAACCTTCAGCATAGAGATCAGGCTGTGATGGAGAAGCCTAGATCAGAGTGGTCCTGGCTGTGAGAGGTGAAACATGAACAGAATGATCAGAGCTGGGAGGGGAGGAAGGAAGGAAGGGAGGAAGGAAGGAAGGAAGGAAGGAAGGAAGGAAGGAAGGAAGGAAGGGAGGGAGGGAGGAGGAAGGAAGGAAGGAAGGAAGGAAGGAAGGAGGAGGGAGGGAGGGAGGGAGGAAGGAAGGAAGGAAGGAAGGAAGAAAGGAAGGAAGGAAGGAAGGAAGGGAGGGAGGAAGGGAGGGAGGGAGGGAAGGTCTTGTAGAACCAGAAATATATGAATTGAGACTAGAGGAATTGAAGGAGAGAATTAGGTAGGTATGGGAAGGAAGTTAGGAGGGGTTTAGGCCAAGAGAATAGTGGAATAGCATGTGCTAGGTACAGAGGAGAAAGAAAAGGGATCCTAAAGGTGGGGCAAGTCTGGGGAGATGTGAGGCAAGTGTGGAACCTGGTAAGTGAAAGGGGCCTAGGGAGGCAACCAAGGTGAGGCAACCAGGAGGCCTGAAACATGAGTATGATAGGGAAAGCACAGACAGAGGGAACCCTGATCTGGAGCTAAAGATGGAGTGCAAGGCTAGGACACATATGTGGGCAGAGATAGCAGATAGCAAACGGAGAATGTGGAGGTGGGTGAGACAGCCCAGGAGGCATGAGAAAGAGGACAGAGGGGGCTAGATCCCTGCTCTGTGGGCAACAGAATAAAAAAGGAAGGGACAGAAGTAGTGAAAGAGTTGGAGACACAGAGAAGGGAGTCCTTTCTCTTCCAACATTCACCTTAGTCTCCAGAGCCCCCTCTTCATCCAGAACCAGGTCACTGCTGTCCATGTGCATGATGGGGCCCTGGAGTAGGGTGCTTAGTGAGAGGGAGTGGCCACAGGATCCTCCTACCCCAGCCGGGGTCTAGGCTCAGGAAAACAATGGGCCCTGGGGACATATTGAATCTAGGGAATAACTTGGTCAGGGGCATATTTGAATCTGGGGGACATTTGGATCTGGGGTCAATGTTGGGACTAGGGCCCAATTTGAGTTTAGGGGACCAGTTAGGACTAGGTTACAATTTGGGTCTAGAGGTACAATTAGGTCTGGGGACCCTGGCTTCCTACCTGGTCCTCACTGCTGCCTGTCTCCTCTTCCTCAGGGCCCCGCAAACTGGAACCATGGCTGCTGCCTGGAATGTGAACCTGGTTCTTTTGCTTGGAGAAAGAGGCTGAGGCCAAGGACAGTGGGTGAGGGTGGGAGGACGGAGGCAGAGATAAGCAATGGGGTAGAGTCACAGTTTGTGGAGACCAATGAGCAGGAAGAGAGAGGACTGGGAGGATTAGGTTAGAAACCACTGAGAGCCCTGGTCTGGGAGGGCAAGTAGTAATTGACCTTGAGGAAGTGGAGTTAGGGCTTTAGGAAGGAACCAGGGCCTGAATTTCCACCAGGGGCTAGAGAGGCAGCACTGGGGCCAGGTCCCAAGGCCAGGCTTTTAGGATTCTGTATTTGAGGACCTGTCAGTGAGCAGGGCAAGTGTGTGTGTGTGTGTGTGTGTGTGTGTGTGTGTGTGTGTGTTTGGCAGGAGCGGGAGGGGGAGTTTGAGGGGGTTGGAGTAGAGCTCGGGTACTAACCCTTGCCTTGGCACCAGCAGCAGAGGGCCACCCCAGTGATGACTATAATGAGAGTCGTGGCCAAGGAGGCCACCCCAGCCACAATCCGCATAGTAGGCAGCACATCTGCAAGGAGAAGAGGGGTGGTCTGAGGAGGAACTGGGGAACAGGACTAGGGCTTGGGTTAGGGTCTCTGGGTTCAAAAGTCGCTAGATTTGGAGATACCCAAGATTTATAATATCCTGGGGTTAAGGGCTTATGAAATTGGGGTTTCACAAGTAAACTCCCTGGCTTTAGGGAGTCTTAGAATTTGAGGGATTTTAACTTTGGAGATTCCCATTTGGGGGGCACCAGAATGTGAGGGGTATCTCCATTTAGGATTCTGTATTTGAGGTAATTTATTTTGAGGGTGTCTCAGGATTCAAGGGACTTATAGTTTTGAGGCTCTCAAGGTTTAGGGGTCTTTGCATTTGGAGGTCCTCGGTTTGTAAATTGTAGCCTTTGGGGGTTGGAGGTCTTCAGGTTTCAGGTCTCACCTCTACGGCCCAGGCTGATCCAGGTATCTCCCTCACCCAACCGGTTACGAGCACTGCAGTTGAAGCCCCGGCTAAAGTCAGACTCCTGGGTTCCCGAAATGTGTAGCACAGAGATCAGGCCTGGACCCTGTCCAACTCGGCCCTCCGGGGCTGGGAACGTCTCCACCAGGAACCGACCCCGGGAACCCTTCTCCAGGAAGCCCTCATCCCAAGACCAGACCTTGGGACACAAAAGGAGATCAGAGGAGACTGGGGAGGAGGGAGGGAAACAGCCAGGGTGTTGGGAGAGTCAGAGGGAATCATGCAGTTGTGGGAGTCTGGCTGGGTAGTCAGGGGTCATAGCTCGGTGGGTCATGAAAGCAAGGACATTTCCTTACCACGGCTTCTGGGGCCGGGGAGGCGAAGACTAGACACTGGAGCCGGGCGGGGCCCCTCAGAAAGGCAGTCGATGAATGCAGGGCGGTCACTACTGGGGGAGCTTGTTTGGAGATTGTGGTTCAATCAGAGGAGGGGCCCGACCCTCCCAACCAAAGTCTGTTTCGATAAGGCCAGGCCAGGCACTCCTCACTAACCCCAGCCAACCAGGCCACGCCCCTCAACAAACTCCAAGCCCCGCGGAGACTCGCCTTCACCACATCCCACTGGGACCCCAGGCCCCGCCTCTATCGAGCTTTCACTATGGAGGCCACACCCACTTCGTCCGCTCTGCCCAGTCCTCTAGGAAGCACCGTTTCCTCACCGTTCACAGTCAGCCTAGCCTCTGCAGCGCCGCCCCCCAGGCCGGAGAGCCCCGCCTCGGCCCTGCACACATAGTCGCCTGCATCCTCTGGCCCCACCGAGGGAAGACGCAGCGTGGGCCCGTAGCCCAGCACCTGGGATATGAAGGGGCGTCAGGGGCAGAACCTTGGGAGGAAGCTCCGTCCACTGCCTGCCACCAGTACTAGCCCCAGACACGGCCTTACCTGTGCACCGCCATGGCGGGTCCAGGTCACCCGTGGGAGCGGATTCCCGTGCCAGGCACAGCTAAAGGAAGCTTCTTCCCCCTGGTCTACAGACATAGGCTCAGGCTTTGCCTGTAGAATCGGCCCGACTAGAGGAAAGATAAGGTCACATGACCGGGAGGGCTGCAACTTCTGACCTGGGGTCAGCCACTCAGATTTGGCAACCTCGCCAGCCCTGCGTGGCTCAGTGTTTGAGCGTCGACCTACGGACTAGGAGGTCACAGTTCGATTCCAGGTCAGAGCACATGCCCGGGTTGCGGGCTCGATCCCAGTGGGGGGCATGTAGGAGGCAGCCAATTGATGAGTATCTCTCATCATTAATGGTTCTATCTTTCTCTCTCTCCCTCTCCCTTCCTCTCTGAAGTCAATTAAAATATATTTAAAGAAAAAAGAATTCTTATTAAAAGAAAAGAAAGAAAGAAAGAAAGAAAGAAAGAAAGAAGAAGGAAGGAAGGAAGGAAGAAAGAAAGAAAGAAAGAAAGAAAGAAAGAAAGAAAGAAAGAAAGAAAGAAGAAAGGAAGAAAGGAAAGAAGAAAGAAAGAAAAAAAAAAAAAAAGAAAGAAAGAAAGAAAGAAGGAAGGAAGAAAGGAAGGAAGGAAGGAAGGAAGAAATGGCAACCTCAAGGGCCCAAGTATAGGCCCCTGGTCCACAACCCTGCTTACATGCCCTGACCCCGCCCTGCCCCTGCCCCTGCCCCTGCCCCTGCCCCTGCCCCTGCTCCAATTTGGCATTGACCCAGCACAGTCAAACTCTGCCTACATTTTATGTCCCCCCCACCCACCTTCCACAGCCCATCGCAGCCATGCCCCACTCAATCCTCCGCCCCACTCAATCCTCCACCCCCCACCCCACCTGCCCATTTCAGCAGGTCCCACTTTGCCCACATCCGTGGTCCTGCCCTGGCTCACACTGTACATCCAGTGCGGTGCTGCGGTTGGCAATACCCACGGCGTTGCTGACTTCGCAGGACACTGGCGCAGTTAGGAATGAGGCATCGGCCACCACTTCCAACATTGGTCCTCGGGCCCCCAGCACTGGGGAGCCCCCTTTTGCCCACCTGTGGAGGTAGTGGGATTGTTAGTATTGTCTCTGCTCCCCAGGCTCATCTACTCATGTCCCAGCTCCACCCCTTTCCAAGCTAGTGCTTTGGGCTTGGGAGAGGTGATCATCCTCACCGATAGCCAGTCACAGGAGGCTGGGCCCTGGCCTGGCATAGGAAAGTGACCTTCTCTCCCTCCTGCACAGTCTGTGGTTCTGCAGACAGAGTCACCACTGGGGCGTCTGTGGAGGTGGGCCAATAGTCAGCAATGGTCAAGGACCTCCACTGATGACCTAGGAGTCCAACTCCCAACCCCTCCACCCCAGTGCTGTGGATCTCCAGTTCCCCCTTCCCTTTGAGCTAGGAGTCCAGGCAGGCCTCCAGTTCCGTATTCCCTCAGGAACTATAGATCCACAGCTCCCTCCTTCCTCATACCCTAGAGTCCAGGTCCCAGGCCCCTATTTCACCAAGGACTCCAGGCTCAGGGACCAGTGTCCAATGCACTTACACTGCAGGCTCAGTGTGATAGCTGTGTCCTTTCCCGCAGGCAGGGCCTGGCTTCGGGCTCGGCAAACCAAGGTGGCTCCGTCATCATGGCTGGAAGGGGTAAAGGATAAGATGCTCTCCACGGACTCAACGGTCCCTTTCTTCAGCAGGGTCTGGAGGTTATGAATAATAATAATGATTTTATCTACCCCTAATACAGTGCTAACTATGTGTCAGGCTCTCTTCTAAGCACTTAGAAGAAGTATTGCTTTATTTAATCCTCACAATTACCCTATGACAGTGATAGCGAACCTTTTGAGCTCGGCGTGTCAGCATTTTGAAAAACCCTAACTTAACTCTGGTGCCGTGTCACATATAGAAATTTTTTGATATTTGCAACCATAGTAAAACAAAGATTTATATTTTTGATATTTATTTTACATATTTAAATGCCATTTAACAAAGAAAAATCAACCAAAAAAATGAGTTCTCATGTCACCTCTGACACACGTGTCATAGGTTCGCCATCACTGCCCTATGAGGTACATACTATTATTATCCTCATTGTACAGATAAGAAAACTGAGGGACAGAAGAGGTTAAGTTAGTTACTTACTCAAGATCAATCAACTAAGGAGTGACTGAGCCAGGTAGTCCAGACCTAGAGTCCTCACCCTTAATCATACACCAAGGGTCCCAACCCTTTAACCCCTGCCCTCCCATGCCCTTTTCTTCTCTGGATGAGCCTGTAGTCTTAGTGAACACCCACATTTCCCTGAATAAACAAGGGCTGGCACAGAGACTTGCATCTGACCTGATAGGAGGTAGCCCCATCCAGCTGGACCTCATCTCGAAACCACAGCAGCTCAGGGGTGGGGCGGGCATCCCCACGGCTCCGACAGGTCAGATTTGCAGGAACCCCAGCAACCAGAGACACAGAGGGGCTGCCCAGCACCTGAGGGGCTTCTGGGGGCACTGTGGATGGATCTGGGGTCAGAGCTGGATTCTGGGCCCAGAGACCCTGATCTTCCCAGCTCTATTTGATCACTCCTTTGTGCTCCCTGGACTCTGATACTCCCAGCTAGGACTGGCTATCCCTCTGGGCAACCCTGGGGAGATGAGTGGGCTGGACCCTCACCCAGCACATGCAACTGGGCTGGTCGAGAGCGGAGGCCTGCCTGTGTAGCCTGACACTCATATGCTGCTTGATCCTCTAGTTCCACAGGCCTAATGTGAAGGTTGTGCTGGCCTCTGGCTGCATCCCCTGATATCCAGTACCTGGACCACCCTGGAATCAAGAAAGAGGCAGTCACACCACTGTTCTGAGTTCCTGTTCCCATCCCCAAAGTGGGTGCTGAGATAAGGAGACACTAACCCTCTCCCAGTCCAGAGTCACTTCAAACTTTGGGGGTGATAAATTCAGAGAGAAAAAAGTCAGAAAACAATTGCCATAAAAGGCAGATTAGATGCTACCCCTGGGGTAAAGAGGAAGGGAGTTATGATAGGGGAAAGGAATAAGAAGGGCTCTGGGCCTGAGTAATGGTTATGTGAGTGTCTACTTTATAGTTACTTGGCAAATCTTCTACTTATGTTTTATATGCTTTTCTGTATTTATGTAATATTTTACAATAAAAATTAAAATCTTCAAACCCTATGGATCACCCCCAAAGTATAAACTGAAAGTTCAAGACAACCCTGGCTGGCGTGGTTAGAGTGTCAGACCGAAAGGTCACAGATTCAACTCCTGGTCAAGGGCATGTACCTGGGTTGCAGGTTTGATCCCCCACCCAAGCAGGGGCCCATTCCAGAGACGATCAATTGATGTTTCTCTCTCTTTCCCCCTCTCTGTCTCCATTCCACTCTCTAAAAATCAATGAAAAAGTATCCTCGGGTGACTATCAACAACAACAAAATTTTTTAGGACACCCAAATGTTTACCTGAGCCCATTAATTTTCCAAACTTAAAAATGTCAAAATAGATACTTCAGTTACAGCCTAAGCCCAGCATCTCCTGAAGCTGATGCCAGCCCCTCCCTGAGTACTGAGAACAGCCTCACCTGGCAGGTCCCTCTCACCCCCTAGAGCCAGCCCATCCTTAGTCCACTGGACCACTCCTGAGTATGTGCCCAGAGCACAGGGCAGCCGGGCCTCGTCCCCTAGCAGGACCACCAGGTCCTCCGGCTGTTGCAGGAAGTGGGGTGACAGGCCTAGGAGAATGCAGAAGAAAGGAGCAGAGCTGAGTATAGCATGTTCAAGAGTTCTCTCATTCAGAACCCGGGAGTTAAGTCCCCAAACCCCTCTTCCCGCAGACCCAGAAGCCCAGGCTCCCAGACTTCTGCTCCCTCAGATCCAAGAGTCCCAGCCCTCAGCCCCATTCACTCCAGTAAAAGCGGGAGCTGGCAAGCAACCCTCCCCATATTTACCGCCTCCCCCGCCCTTCCAGGTACCTGCACGCCCTCTGAGGCAGAATAAGAGGACGAGGAGGGCGGGGACCAGCATACTGAGTGTGTGTCCCCCAAGATGCAGCAGACTTGCTGTAGCACTGCCTTCCTTGCCAACTGCTTCCTGGACAGCACACCTCCCACGACTCAAGCCTGGAACCTTCTTCGAGCCCGACTCTTCATTCACCCTTGTCCCTGGCCTGGAGTTTCCCAAATCTGCTCAGCCGCTGGCTCCGACGTTCTGAAACGCAGGCGAATCCCGCTCGCTGCATCTCTGAGACCCCGGCTGGGCCTGATCTCATTCGCGCGCCCCGCCCTCTTTCCATTAAGAAACTCCGCGACCGAAAGGCCGAGGAGTAGGGCTTTCCTCTTGGGCGGGCGCCCCACCCCCATTGGGATCTGGGAGCCGGAACATCTGGATCGAAGGAGGGGGTTTCGGCTGGGTTGGACACCTGCACCCTGCCGGGGTTGCAGGAGTACGGGGGTGAGGAGAAGTAAGGGGAGGGAGTGGAAGAAAGTTGCTCAGCCCAGGTCCTGGAGGGACTGCGCTGAGTGGAAATCGAGCTATAAATGGGAACCCCTGGGGCATCGCTAGTTTCTGCGCCCTAAGGAGGCGGGGCTCGGGGCTCCTCTGAGCCTACAGGTCAGGAAGAGGGCTCCAGTGTGGCTGGGGAGGAGGGGGGACAGCTGGAACCCCCGAGAAGAGGGGGGCTTCTGCTCTCCCCGCCTCAAACCCCCTCTTCAAAATAACCCTTTGCCTGCCTAGTCACTGCCGCAAACCACAGCACGTCTTAAGATCTAGGAATCCAGGCTCACAAACCCTCCTTTCCCAAGACCCCGCAGTCCGGGCTCAGCCCTTCGCCCCACTCAGCTGTGGTTGCCGGGCGACAGCTGGGAGGCGGCGGTGCTGGGTCGGGGCTGGCAGGGAGGCTGGGAACCTCGCAGCTTGTCCTGACGGCTGCATGCAGCCCAGCTGGGGTGTTCTCACGCTGCACGCTGGCGAGTGCGCTGCGCAGCTACGCGGCAGGTGGGTGGGACCCCCAGTCGGCTGAGGGGCGTTTGTGGGCTTGGGACCTGGGTCTGACGTTCCTGAGCCTGTTGGGACTGGGGGTCCATACTCAGGTTGTGAATTGTTCCTGAGCTCAGAATATTGAGTTTTTCACTAAGTAGCGGGGACTTGGACTTCCAGGATTCTAAGACTGGCTGTCAGACCTCTGTTGACTGAGAAGTTGGGAACTCAAACAGGTCCTCTGCCTGCAGCAGGGCGCAGTTGGGAGAGGATGACAGGGGCCAGAAAATCTGGTCTTAAGTCTTAGAGTCAGTGGATTTAAGCACCTGTCTCTCTCCTACTCCCTACACAAGCCCAGGGGGAGGATTTGAAAATCAATAGACAGTGAACATCTACCATAAATTCTGTGGTGGTGGTGGGGGTGGGGGGGGCGGCGGGGAAGGACTTATCTCTTGGGAATGTGGGGAGAAGGGGCTTCAGGCCCGAACTCCTGAGTCCTGGATCCTTGGGACCCAGGCTTGTGAATCCTGGTGGCCCAGACTCTGGGTCGGGGGGCCTGAACTCCTGGCTTCTGTTTTGGGGATCTAGCACCTGGATTTTATTTTATTTTTAAATATATTTTATTGATTTTTTACAGAGAGGAAGGAAGAGGGATAGAGACTTAGAAACATCGATGAGAGAGAAACATCAATCAGCTGCCTCCTGCACACTCCCCACTGGGGATATGCCGGCAACCAAGGTACATGCCCTTGACCGGAATCAAACCTGGGACCTCTCAGTCCGCAGGCCGACGCTCCATCCACTGAGCCAAACCAGTCAGGGCACAGCACCTGGATTTTAAAACAGGATGAGCTTGGGGCCAGCATTCCTGAGGCTTGGGGACAAGTCAGGCAGTAAGACTGTTTTTCTAGACACCTGATATCACTTCCCTTCCTGGCTCTCTGGGGCTACAGGCATGGAAAGATGAAGAGCCTGAGGTCCCAGGAGCATGCAGAGAAGGAAAACAGTCAAAGTAGAGTGTGGAAGGTTTGTGCTAATTAAAGGCCCCAGCAACTGACAGCTCTACACCCTGGCCTCGATGGATACCATCTGGTGAGGAGCCCTATGACAGAACCTCCTGCTCTGCATCCAGCCCATTCCCTAGGGGGTGTGGGCAGTTGGGAAAGAAAATGTGGGAGTGCAAGGATTTAATATGGGAGGGAAGAAGAAAGACTAGAGGCAGCATCAAGGATAGAACTGTAGGGGCTCAGCCCAGATGCCTCATTTTGTTCCTGGAGGAGGATCATATAGGGGGTCGTGGCGGGGGTCCCAATTCTTGTAGGAGATAAGCAGGCAGAAGAAGCTTATCCTATGTGTATGAGCACACTGGGGTGGGCAGGGCCAACCAACCAACATACGGTTATAAAATTCAAAGACGTGGCAATCAGGGGAAACAAATAAAACAAACAGGTGTAGTCATAAGATGACTGAGAACAAATATTTATTGAGCTCCTGGTGTGTGTGAGAGAGTATGGGGTTGGGGGTGGGGGGAGATAGAGATGAAAACAGAGACAGAAAAGTAGAGACACATAGAGGTATATATATATATATATATATATATATATATATATATATATATATATATATATAGAGAGAGATAGAGAGAGAGAGAGAGAGAGAGAGAGAGAGAGAGACATAGTTAAAGGTTGACTGAGATTAACCACCTAATGGAGAGAAAGGAGAATAGAGAAAGACATGGAGACAAAAGAAACTCAGATAGAGAAAGATAGAAAGATAAATCAAGCCCTGATCAGTGTGGTTCAGTTGGTTATATATTGGGCTGTGCACCAATATTGTTCTGTTGCTGGTTCAATTCCTAGTCAAAGCACATGCACAGGTTGTGGGCTCAATTTCTAATAGGGGCTGTGCAGGAGGCAGTCAATCTGATGTTTCACTCTCACATTGATGCTTCTCTCTAAAAAAATCAATAAAAATAGAAAGATAAATCAAGATGGATAGATGGAGAGAGACAGACACAGAAGAGACAGGGAAAGACAGAGGGAAGTTACATGAACTAGATAGAATTCACAAGGCCCTTGCCATAGGGTACCTAGCTGGGCTCAGTGCTGACAGCTCTATACCCTGGCACAGTTAGTGCTGGTGATCTTAGACACTACCTTTCACTCCCACCCATGCTGGCTGCCTTGAACCCTGCACACTTGCACCTTAGACACTCATATACACTCACACACTTGGCAGATACTTTCACAGATCACAATTCACTCACCTTCCCCACACTCACACGAATGCTCACTCACAATGAACTTCACACACACGTGCACAGAAAGGGAAAGATAGCTGCACTCTCCCAGTCTCTCATACACACTCTTGCACACTCCCCAGCGACATTCCTAATGTCACTGAGGGGGTAATGTTTACTCAGGGAAGGAAGGGACTTGCCAAGGTCATGTACCAGGGCAGGGAAGAGCCAGGCCCAGCTCTCTGCTCTCCATGATGAGCTGGGACCGCCTGGGTCTGACTTGCACTCCTTCATGGAGTCATGGGGGCTGGGGAGGCACCAAGGAATATGCCTGGCATGTGCTGACAGGGGATTTCATGCTCCAGCTGGGCTGGGAGGAGCCTGCTGGACAGAGTACTGGAGCTAGAGACTTGAGAGGGTGTCTCGGGAAGGTAGCAGTGCAAGGACACGATCAGGTTGGGTCCCAGAATGAGGCTCAGCTCTGCTACTGACCTCATCGGCCTCATTGCTCTCCTTGGCTTGTAGGGCCTGCTGGACTCTGACAGCGGGTCTTCCCTGGGGGGCTGTGAGTGGTGAAAGGAAAGCAGGGATTGGGGTGGCAGGAGAGAAGAAAGACAAATAGAGACTTATGGGGAAGGAGAGAGAAATAGAGAGAAAGACAGGAGAAGGTAGAATGGAAGGTACTCAGGGCAGGGAGAGAGATAGAAAGACAGAAGGGGAAAGAGAGGGAGAGAGTAAGAGAGGGAGAGATAGACTCATGGAAAGAAAGAAAAGCAGGGAGAGAGAAGGAGACAGATGGCAAAAGAGAGACAAAGAGAAAAGCAAGAGACAGAGACATAGGGAGAGGGACCCAGAGAAAGCCAGGGGCAGACACAGGAGGCAGCCAGTGGGCATTGCAGGAGCCACAGACAGAGAGCATGGAGTGGCCCTGAGGATCCCCATCCGGGCTCCCTTGCTCCTCATGGGAATGCTGACCACAGGTAAGTGGGATCCTGGCCTTGTGATCTAGTGTTAAGACGCCCTCATTTCCCACTCACATTCTCCAGACAGACCCTCTGTCCTCCCCTGCTGACTTTTCTGTCCCCAGGCCTGGCCCAGTTGCAGATCCCTGCCTCAGCCTCCAGAGGCTTCTGGGCTCTGCCTGAAAACACGACGGTGATGGAGGGGGCTGCCGCTGAGCTTCGATGTGGGGTCAGTGCCCCTGGCAGTACCGTGCAATGGGCCAAAGATGGACTGCTCCTAGGTCCCGACCCTAGGATCCCTGGCTTCCCACGCTACCACCTGGCAGGCAACCCTTCTAGAGGTAAGGGATCAGAGCCTGGACCCTGAGCTGTCAGCAGAAGCTGACTGTGGCCCTGACCTTGGGTCCTACCTGCAGGTGAATTCCACCTGCATATTGAAGCATGTGACCTCAGTGATGATGCCGAGTATGAGTGCCAGGTCGGCCGCTCAGAGACAGGGCCTGAGCTCGTGTCTCCCAGAGTGATCCTCTCCATTCTGGGTATGGGTGAGAGATACCCCCTGCCCCCAGAACCCATGAGTCTGTACTCCCAGTCCTCTCCTACCCCAGGACCCATGAGTACAAGCCCCCAGCCTCTCCTTCCTCAGATCCAGGTTGCAGAACTAATTTCATGAGCAATGAGACTCAAAGCCCAAACCCTCATATCCTTCTCGGTGGTGTCGGCTTACCCCAGACCCTTTCTCACCAGTGCCCCCCAAGATGCTTCAGCTGACCCCTGAGGCAGGGAGCACAGTCACGTGGGTAGCTGGGGAGGAGTACGTGGTCAGCTGTGTGTCTGGGGACGCAAAG